ATAACGTCCATAGGATCACCCTATATTCAAGCTGACTTGATGGCAGTGTTACCCCAAGGTCTGGCCCTCTGCACCCTTCCTCGTTTTCATTATCAAGTTGATATCAAAAGGGATGTTTGAGGCATGTAGCTGAGAGGGAGCCAATGGAAACTAGCCATACTTTATTTGGAGATCTGGGGGGCTCAGTATGGGGGGGAGCTCAAAAGCACATAGCCAAGGATAGATCAATCAAGATTAGAATCTGCATAATCCCTTCATTGTTAGGGGGTGATGGGGATGATTGACTTTGTTGTTTATAAGTTAACAAAATTCCAAGAATACCTCCCTCTGGAAGTGATGCTCCATTGTCCAGAGAGATTTGCACTGATTGTCTTGCCATTCACAAGTTCCCTTCTTATTCTTCTCTCCTGGAAACTTCACTCTAATCCCAAATCTGCCCAGGGATATGTTTTGCCCTATAAATATGCCTGCTAAGGCACCCCCAATTTGGTCTTGCTTGGGTTCAGAAGACTCTCTGTCATCTTGCTTGACTCATCAGCATTGCTGGCCACTTCATTATCTACCAGCAGCTTGCTGAGCCATTTCACTTCACAATGTTCCCTGACTGAAGCCCTGCTTTGGGAATTGGTACAGTATCACCTTCTACAATCCCTTCAGTTGCTATCTACCACCCCTTGATTACAAATAAAGCTACATTTTGACATCGCTGTTTCTCAGAACCACTATACACAGGTTCAGTCCCTGCTTTGAGTTCTCCAAGCCCTCACAACTGATGTAACTGAGTTAATAAAATTTCCCTATTAAATATCAATTGTGGGCAACCTCTCAGGATCCTGGCATTTTGGCTCACAGCAGATTACAACAAATTAATGTCCCTTTGGTACTTCTGACAGCAGTTTCAGATTGTGGAAGGTGGCCATCAGCAACCCTGATGAGGAGAAGGTGGAAGAACTGATGGAGCCCACCAACCATCTAGTTCAAAAACTCCACCTACTTTCCCCCCAAATGAGGAACTAACATTGGCTGCTAACAGAGGCTCTTCTTCTCTGAGGAGATCTTGAATGGAACTATTTTGCCTGACCTTTAGTTTGGCTAGAAAGAAGCATCACAAGACCAACTGTGTAAGCACCCAGGAGTTCCATGTCATATATATGTGTATATATATAATTTTAATATTATACATAATGCTTAAATTACACAAAACAAAAAAAAGCAAAAACAGTAAATAATATCTTGTTCTTGACCCCACCACCCATTTCAGATTGACTTCCCACTCTTCTCTGAGCATAGGAAATTAACTTATGCATAATATTCCTCATCTCTAAACTAAATCTATTATATTTACTTCATTATTGTGGGCCTCCAAATTATTTTTTTACTTATGGAAACCCTAGGGTGAAGCTATCATAGGGTTTCCTTGGCAAGTTTCTTCAGAGCAATTTTATCATTGCCATCCTCTGAGGCTGAGAGAGTGTGACTTGCCCAGGATCACC